TCGTGTGTGCTTACGACTGAACGGACGTAGGAAACAGCTGGCGGTAAAACCATTACGCCCCCAGCTCGATCAGGAAACTAAATCCCTATTTGAGGAAGAACTAGCTAAACGCATATCTGAATCGACAGCTGTGCTCACCCTGGAGAAGCCTGGAAGAATATTCAGTCAGCTATAGATACAGCTGTAAAAGCTGTGAATAAGACAAATCCAAAGGTGAGTAAAAACCACTGGATTTCGACTGCCTCATCCGAACTGATAGATGCTAGAAGACTTATTCCGGCGAGCTCCGAATTCAATGAGGAGCGAAAGCTGCACAAAAGGAAACTTACTAAAAGTCTCCGCAAGGACCGTGAACAGTGGTGGGTGACAAAGGCGAAAGAGATGGAAAAAGCATTGGCGATAGGCAACACTAGGCAACTCTTTAGACTCATCACAGAATCGGGCGGGAAAAGGCAATTCATAAGTGAGACTATTTCTGAGAAAAATGGCTCCTTAATTAGCTCTCAGGATAGACGCCTTGAACGCTGGAAAGAACACTTTGAGGAACAATTTAACTTGCCTACAGCCACACTGAACCTCCCCGCCATCCACCACGTACCCGAATGGGATATAGACACTGGTCCGCCGTCTGTAGGTGAGGTTACAAAAGCTATCAGTAATTTGAAACGAGGCAAAGCGGCAGGACCCGACGGAATTATTCCGGAGGTGTTTAAATATGGGGGTGACATACTAGTTTGTAGATTAACTGAGGTACTAGGCAAAGTCTGGGAATCAGAGACAGTACCATCAGACTGGGGTAAGTCACTTATTATACCGATATTCAAGAAGGGAAACAAGTCCTCGTGTGATAATCATAGGGGGATCAGCCTAACGAACATAGTCTCTAAAATCCTAGGCTCAGTAATCATGCATAGACTAAGCAGAACTCGGGAGGAACAGACAAGGGAAAATCAAGCAGGCTTTAGACCAGGTAGAGGGTGCATAGATCATATCTTCACTCTTCGACAGATTCTAGAACATAGACACACTTTTCGGCGTCCAACAATTGTCATATTTCTTGACTTGAAGGCGGCCTTCGACTCCGTGGATCGAAAGGTACTATGGCAATGTCTGACTGTGAAGGGAGTGCCAAGAAAGTACATTGCACTAATCAAGGCACTCTATTCAAACTCACGTAGTCGTGTAAGGGCTTATGGGGAATTGTCATCTGAATTGGTAACAACCAGTGGTGTCCGACAGGGATGTCCACTTTCCCCATTTCTGTTTAACTTCATCATAGATATGCTAATGGAAGTATCCTTAACTGAACGTAGTGACTTAGGAATCGACTTGTTACCAGGGAATAATCTAATGGACTTAGAATATGCAGATGACATAGTCCTGTTAGGGGAGGATGCTGACAAAATGCAGAGTCTTCTGAACACCTTGAGCAGCAATCTTCGTATGTTTGGCATGCGATTCGCCCCTGCAAAATGTAAGATGCTGCTACAGGACTGGACGACGTCAACCCCTAACTTAGTGATAGGGAGTGAAGTGATAGAACATGTTGACCACTTCACCTACTTGGGAAGTTGTATTAGCACCAACGGACTGATTGGCGATGAAATCTCAGCACGGATCCGAAAAGCTCGAGCTGCTTTCGCTGACTTACACCATCTCTGGCGTAGGCGTGACATCCGGTTATCAACCAAGGGACGTGTGTACTGCTCATCAGTTCGCTCCGTCCTTCTCTATGGCTCTGAAACATGGCCAATACGCGTTGAAGACATGAAAAGGTTGACTGCTTTCGATCATAGATGTCTGCGATCTCTGTCTCACGTTAGGTGGTTTAACAAGGTAAGTAATGTTGACGTTAGGCGTAGAGTGTTGGGCAAAGAGGGAAAATCAATCGACGAGGTTATAAAGTTACATAGACTAAGATGGCTAGGTCACGTGGTGCGCATGCCTAACCACCGCCTCCCCCGACGGGCATTGTTAGCTGATATAGGTTCAGGTTGGAAAAGAGCCAGTGGTGGCCAAACAAAAACATGGCATCAATCCATGAAATCCTTGACAGTTAAACTGAGTCAGGTAGGGAGATGCAGACTCCCGGGTTGGGGCCCTCGGGACTCTAGGAATCAATGGCTGGAGACAATAGGTGACATGGCTCAAAATCGTTGTCAATGGCGCAGATGTATTCAATCTCTGTAATCTTTCATATTCCTTTCTACCATTACCCATTCTGTTTCACTCTTATATTTGTCAAACTCTATTAATTCTCTTCACTCATCTTCTTGTCTACCTCTGTGTGCTATTTGGAACGTGGCAACTCGAACTGCTGCACTTCGGTGCCAAGTTCTATGTTGAATCCAGACAGACAGACAGAGATTTTCGATTATCTACTTTAGATGTGGATTGTATGAGTGACTGATAGAAGGTGAGTATATGTCTCACTGACTTAAACAGTTGACTTTTAGGCAATTGGTTCCGAGTTTAAATCGCACCCAATCTACTCTATCCTTGGTAGTTGGGTAGTATCATCAGCTGTCAAACAAGTGTCTCATTGCCTCGTACATGGGAAGTTTTCTTCAAGAAAGTAGTTCTGCGGAAGATGTATAAGTCAAATTAAAAGATAGTACTATATTGTCTGTCACTAACGTGATCACTTAATTGTTGGTGAACAATAGACGAATTGAAATCTGCCCTATTGATTTAAATGTGGATGGCTGGATGGTGTATGTAGCCCTACACATCTTATGTGATTACAAATCCTCTAGACATGACTACAAAATCTGGATGGATTTTCAATGAATTTATATTTTAAACAAAACTAATTCACTAACGTCATTTAATGTTTGTCGTCTGACAATACTTTTGATAAAAATTCATAATTTTACATATGTGGTTAAAAGTAGGTGATACAGGAGTGAGTTATCATATTTTAGTGTAATTAGAAAATATTGTAGCAGAAAAAAACTATGAGGGCAAACTGATAGAACAAACTGAAAGAGAAATTTGAATGAACTAATTTAAGGTAGTAAAATGTTTTCTATTTACGGTATGATGGTGATCTCTCACTTCGTTTTGTTTTTTAGTTTTCACTTCTGTCATTATTAGTAGTCCTCCAGCTCACAATTAATATGCAAATTATTTGTTTAGTGTTTATAACTCTTCAGTTAACAATTTAGGTTTTAAGTTAATTAAATATGCTTACTATTTTGTTGAGAGTTCAGTTGTGTTAGGATGCATATTTGTGACTCCCTATCTCAGTAATTTTAACATGGACATTGACTAACATATTCAGTTTCTTTTCTTGTGTTATCTCTCGATTTTGGGTTTCATTTGATCAGAGTACTCTTTAAATTTAGTTCTGAAAATATTTTAATCTATGATTTTCACTGTGTTTCCTGTTAGTTAGTTAATTTTGTGAAATCTGTATAACTGTGTATCAGTTCTCTTAATGACCAGATTTATTGACTCTTCAGCGGTTTAATGTTTTTAGTAAAGCCTTGGATTAGTCACTTGACCTTTAGATAATAGTTCTCGGGTTCGAATTCCTCCGTCCATCTCCTTAAATCTGGGTTTTTGTCGTCAGCCCGCACACAGTAAGTGTGACTCATAACTCTTTACATAAGAAGTCTGTCCCACGATACCGAATTCTAGTGTGGTGAGAGCTGGCCGCAGACCAAAATTGTAGACAGCAATTTACGTCAATGTTATGTCCCGAATCGGGGCCATGAAAAAACAATAGCAAAGATTAACCTTGTGCAACCCACCAACCAATCACAACTAACTTAGCGTATGCAAATAGGAGAAACGGTCACAAACAGTACAGAATAACCTTCAGCAAGGAAACAACCAATCAGAAGACGTTGCTTCTCCGTCTACAATAATGTACACAAAAATCTATAAATATCTCTCGATTTTCTGAATGAACGACCTGTTGCCTGGCCCTTGTATTCTGTCGTTACACTAGTAACTTCTGACTTCGCAAGGCCAACAGTTACATACTGGTTCTTCCTAAGCCAATTTTAGCTGACTGCATATCTACTGTTATCGTTATTCATGTTATACTTATGTTTTGGGTTTTAACAAAATGTTGTTATTGCTGACTTGATCAGTTTTTCTTTGGAATTTAGATGGACGTGTTTGTGTGTCCACAATAAAAATGCCAAGTGTAGATTAAATGTGATAAATTCGTTTTCTCTCTGATTGGAATATTCTGCTATATTGCTTTCTTATGTTGTACATTTCTTTTCGTAAGAGGCATGTTTCTTTGGCTTCAAGCATTTGAACTTCAACTTATTCGTCTTGGTTCCAAATCCCACTTTAACTGTCAGGAGCAAGGTCGCCGGATAGTATCATGTGTCATTATTAACAAGTGTAACCCACACAGTCCTATGCATAATAATACTGAGTATCAAATTAATTCCTTTTACTTATGCGTGTAAAGACCTATTTGAATGACAAACAGTTCGTTTATTCCAACTTATTCAACTTTTTATTAATATCAACCGATAATCCAATAGGCGTTCATTTCAGTCTGAAATATTTATTATAACATGACTATTGGCGTGCATTAGTTATTTATAGCTGTTTATTAAAATTTACTTCCTACTACGTGTTTGCTAAAATCTAGTCAACTGACTAGTAATACCTTTACTGGCCGTCATGCAATAGGTGTAACTAATAGTTCGGATAACGCAGAGTCTGTTGTTGTCTATAACAAGCATAGTTAAGCGTTAAATTATTACTACTCGTAAAAAAAAGTAATTGTGAAATTAGCTATACACATGAAAATTATACTGACGTCAACAGTAAAGTCTGATATCCACTACTCGTTGTACAAGATCTTAGTGACTGAATTTTATTGCATTTTTGTATTCCGTGATATTGGACAACTTATGCTAAACACTCCATTAAACAAAGTAAAGTCCGCTAGTTAGTGTTGTGATTGATAACTTTATTTATTACCGAGTTTTTTCCCCTAAACTCAACACTTCTTATTTTACCTCTTGTAGATGATACTCAAGTCTAATCAATAATTCATATTGTATATATAACCCAAATTGACATATAGTGTGATCAAACAATGTGCGATGAGGTAAGTGCGTCCGTTATGTCAATATAATCTAATGTTGTGCATTTACTAAATCCACTGTGTATGTATGTGTGTGTGTGTGACAGCAATACACACTTGTTTCATTTAGTGGTTGGTGATTGAAGATGAAATGAAAATCTCAATCGCGGTAGCTGTTTCGGAATTAGAAGTCCGGCGCTCTGCCTGCGCAGTTAAGGGACTCAACTGCTAACCAGGTCATCATTTCAGTGAGATTACGAGGTGTAATGTTGTCATGTGAATGAACAACACGTTACTCTCCGTTTATTATTTCTTCATTTTCAATCATCACCCATTACATCAATAACAGTTTATCAGTCCAAGACTACAGTTTCACCACCAATGATTGTCTTAGTTTGTCAGATTAAATATCTGTCCGTACATTTTGAAGTTGTTTAAATCATAATTCATGTGTGCGTATACGTTGAAAAGTTTGACCATGTATTCTAATTGCTTTCTATTTCAAGCTACGAAGCAAAAATAAGGATAAGATAGTTTCATCATCTTTCCTGACCATCGAGATCGCAGTAAGCAAGTATTTAAAAAAAACTCATTGAGTAATAATCAATAGTTATAATGTGTAGTGCTAAAATTTAAGAAAAGTTGGGTACTTTAAGGCCTTTTAGTGAATGTAGTGTTAAAAATGTTTATAAATATACTGTATGCAGTATCTTGCTTTCTTTGTGATGGCTTATTCGTAAATTATTGGTAACAAGTGAGTGTTTAGATAAGTTTGAAGTTATTTTCAGATTTCGGGTTGTGTTTCGGTATTCACCATCCAGCCGATAATATTGGATCTACTCCTTGAAGTCATTCTCTAAGGAACCTTTTGTGTCATTTATGTTGAAATACACTCTTTCCGATAGTTTATTATACTAAAATGAACATACGTCATGCATACACTAATTTATTTTCAGCTCAACCGCACAACTACTGAATGCTTTACTATTAGTAAGCTACATGTAAATAATCTAAGACTAAAATCAGCAGTCAGTTAATTTATATGAAAATAGTTGTTTGACCCAGAATTATTTATTACTTCACGCCTCATTTAGAGCGTGTTTTAGCTGCCTGAAATGTTTCACTAAAATAGAGACAAAATAATAAAAATAACAAAAATATTTATTTCAGACACATATTCCCCTTAATGAATTTGAACAAAGCAAGAACTGCAGTTTTCGCAGATTAAAGTGGTAACATCTTTTATTTATTTGCCTTCTCGTCAGCTGCTTACAGGTGAAAGACATTATTAAATATATCTACAAAAACAATTTTAACATACGTGCACAGAGTTCATTTTAAACAAAAATCAACTGATCAATATATGCATACAGTAATAATATATACACATATATATGTAATATTAAACAGTATTCCGAACAGCAATAATAATCATACACAATGGAAACTTTCCAGGATTACGTATTGAGATGAAAGAGAGATGAAAAGATCCAGTTACTAGGGCAAAGAAAGCCTGATAACCTCTTCTTTCTGGATATATTTAATAATGTCTTTGGCCTGTAAGCAGCTGACGTGAAGGCAACGAAATAAAAGATGGTACCACTTTATCCTCCAAAAACTGTCGTTCTTGCTTTGTTCAAAAATATTTATTACGACACCATAAAGGTCGGTCAATCAATGATGTGAATTTTAATCGAAGCGAATTAGTCAACATGCTCAAACACTACATTCCGTATCATTGAATTAGAAGTCGGTACAGACTAGTCCTACAATACTCTCTGACTTTTTCCAGGGGCTAACTCCATGCCAGCATAGTCAGATTTTCGCTTAGGGAGTTCGGAAGACTATTTTAACCAATGTCTTCACCTAAAAGACTGTCATCTGCGTAACGTAGATTAACGAGACTTTTCCCTGGTAGCAAGTTTATTCCTGAGAAATCAAAGCTGATCAGTTCAGTTATAATAAATAAGAATGGACATCTGGTTGTCATCATTTTATATGACAGTCTTACACAACTTATTAGACTGGGATGCGTTTGAGTAAAGCACTGTGATTAGTGCAATATGATTTTTTGGTACTCACTTCGCAGCCATTTATTACCACAGCATCTTTGTATTATTGGAGTCAAATATCGGCTTCAGGTCAAGAAAAATAACATGTGTTGAACACTGGTAAGTATGCCTATTTCCCAGAATCTGTGAAAGGATGAAAATACTATCAGTGCATCCTCATCCAGTCCCTAAGTCTAATTAATTTTCTCAAGTCCAGTTTATTCTGTGAAAAACAATGGAACCTAGAATCCTAGATGCTACGTTGATAAAACTGACTCCCCTGTGATTATTACAACAATATTTGTTTTATAAACTGGTAGGGCTAAGAGTCTACATCGATGTGGCGGAAAAATCTCACATTCCCGTACACTGGCTAGTAGTGTAGTCAATGTAGCCAGTAATTCATTACCGCCGTCGTTAGGCGCCCCTGAAATGAAACCGTAAGGTCTAGCTGCTTCACTTTGTTTTACAGTAGAGAAAGCTTTTGAAATCTCCGTCACTATTCATACTCCATAATCGTAGGGGTCGGGTAGCGGGCAGTTATAGTATGACTGTTTAACTGGTCTTCAAAGTGTACTACTTAATGTTCCAGTAGACTCTCCCGACAAATTATTGCGTTTCTATTCATCTTGGTCATCACTTCATTTACCATGGCTATTTTATAAATCGTTTTCTCAATGCACTTGAATGCTTAACGCGTACTACCAGATGCCTTTTCTATTTTCCTCACTTCTGTCGCCTGCGAGTGCCCGCGGTCTCTGTGTAGGCTTCTTGTCAGCTTACTGTTGTTCGTTGTGCGCTCTAAGTACTGTTCTGTACTTGTACTGATCATGAAATCTATGCACTGTTAAATAGTGGTGTTCTTATGAACATTCTGATAATGACCAACTTATCTTGTCTTGATTCCTTGGAGCGGAAGAAGCGATTAAGCAACATGAAGGTTTGTACTGATTCTATCCTCTGACACTATTCAGGTAGGTAGTTACTTGGGGTTCTAGTGGGCAGTCGTGATCAGTAGGGTGCAGCAGGTCGGGTGTGAAGACAAATACTCTCCGAAGATGTTGGCTAGCGGTTGCGCTATGTCGTGAATTGACAGAAGTTAGAATTCATGGGCCATTGGATCGGGTCCCAGTGGCTTAATGGTCTACGAGCTAGCTCCCCTCGTAACCAGAAGGTCCTGGGTTCGAATCCCGGTGGGTGCGTACTGATGAAGAGTCTCAAACTAGGACGGAGGACCCAAACCAGTACTCCCAGGTTTTCCAGTGGTGTAAAGCAATTAGTTCCCTTTATGAATTTCGACGACACAATAAGAAGAAGTAGTTTATCTGAAACGTGTAATGTATTGGCGCAACACATTTCGGATCTGTCTGTCTGTCTGTTTTCGACATAGAACTTTGCACAAATGTGCGGAAGTTCAAGTCGCCACATTCCGTGTAGCACGCGAAGCAAGAGAAGAAAGTACAAGAAAAGCAAATAGAAACAGTGAGCAGAGGTGTGAGACAAAGGAGTAATAAAGAAATACAAAACAGTTTCATTGGAGATCATAAGTCACAGGGAGTGGATGCATCTGCGCCACTGAGAACGATTTTGAGCCATGTCACCAATTGTTTCCAACCATAGATTTTTACCGTCCCGAGGACCCCAGCCTGGAAGTCTACACCTTCCTACGTGGCTAAGACCAACTGTTGTGGATTTCATTGACTGATGCCAAGTTTTTGTTTGACCGCCGCTAGCTTTTTTCCAGCCTGACCCTATATCCGCTAACATTGCTCGTCGAGGGAGGCGATGGCTTGGCATACGTAACACATGTCCTAACCATCTCAGTCGATGTAGCTTCACGACTTCGTCGATTGATTTCCCCTGTTTACCTAGAACTCTACGCCTAACCTCCATGTTGCTCACCTTATTATGCCACTTTACACGGGAAATAGAACGCAGGCACCTATGATCAAAGACAGCTAGTCTTTTCATGTCTTCCACTCTCAGTGGCCAGGTCTCACAACCATAAAGGAGGACGGAGCGGACTGATGAGCAGTACACCCGCCCTTTGGTCGATAGTCGAACATCTCGTCTACGCCAGAGTCGGCGTAAACTAACAAATGCGAAACGAGCCCCTTGTATTCGTGCTGAGATTTCGTCAGAGATCAGCCCGTTGGGGCTGATGGTACTTCCCAAATAAGTGAAGCGGTCAACGTGCTCTACCACTTCACTTCCTATTTTTAAACTAGGCGTCGATGTAGTCCAGTCCTGTAACATCATCTTGCATTTGGCGGGAGCGAATCGCATGCCAAACATTCGTAGATTGCTGTTCAAGGTGTTTAGAAGACTCTGCATTTCGTCAGCGTCTTCGCCTAGAAGGACTATATCGTCTGCATATTCCAAGTCAACGAGATTATTCCCAGGTAGCAAGTCAATCCCTGAATCGCTGAAGTCACCTAGGGTTAAGTCCATTAACACATCTATGATGAAGTTGAATAGAAAAGGAGATAATGGGCATCCTTGACGGACACCACTGGTCGTCATCAGTTCAGATGACAGCTCGCCGTAAGCCCTCACCTGGCTGTATGAGTACGAATAGAGTGCCTTAATCAGTGCAATATATTTTCTCGGAATTCCCTTTACAGCCAAGCATCTCCAGAGAACTTCCCGATCGACAGAGTCGAATGCTGCCTTTAGGTCAAGAAATATAATGACTGTTGGACGCCGGTAGGAATGCCTATGTTCTAGAATCTGTCGGAGGGTGAAGATATGATCAATACACCCTCTTCCTGGTCTAAAGCCTGCCTGGCTCTCTCGTGTTTGTGCTTCCCGAGCACCACTCAGTCTACGCATGATTATTGAGCCTAAGACTTTAGATACTATATTAGTCAAGCTAATCCCTCTGTGATTATCACAGGAAGACTTGTCTCCCTTCTTGTATATGGGGATAATCAGTGACTTACACCAACCCGATGGGACTTCTTCTGATTCCCA